TGCTCTTCCGATCTCCCCAAAACCCCAAAACCCCAGAAGATTAAAATAACTTGAATCTGAGATCAATAAAATGTAAAAATGTTAAATAATGATCTCATTTTGGCTTAGTGGCAGGGGGCTATTATTGCTATTATTATTCAGGTTAAGCAGGTGGCTTCTCATCCTTGACCATTAATTCTTCGATACTCATATTCCACCATTTATGGAACCTAGAAAAGTATTAAAATTGAATTTTACTTAGCGAAGTCAATGAAGCCTTCTCCATCATCCAGGTAATTGTTAGCTGTGCTATTTATTACATCAACAAATTTGAAATGGAAACTCATATCTTCTGAGTTCATCAATAAGTGAAGACCAAGCTTATCGCAAAGCTCTGCTAAGCTATCAACTCTGACTCTCTAAGAAATCGTATATTAATGAGAATAAACTTACACCTCCTACACCATCATCCTTAGCAACCTTTTTGAACTTCTTAAGCAAAGTCTCATCGTCATAAGTATATTAATCTGATATTTTCTTTTACCATAAGAAAGAAACTGTTTTCTTGAAGTAAGTCTATACTCTCCAATCAGGCCATTCATACTTTCTGGGATGTTAAGAATATTCATCAAGGAATTCGCCTCTATGGAAAGTTCTGGTGCATCCATCCTCTTCCCAACCTTATCTGCAACAAGTCCAATGAGGTTTCCAGAGCATCTCATCTGGATCAACTCCACCAACAGCTGATGAAACTTTTTAGCCAGAGTAACCGAAATCCCATCTGCCTGGATGACATTTACATGCTTTTTTATGATTATTAAGTTGCTTGTAAATTTTTCTGCATGCCCAGTTCAAACAGTAGCGATCCTTCATGTTTATTTTCTTTTCCTCATCTGCTGAAAGATTGGTTGGTCTTCCTGGATTCTTTGGTTCGTAAGGAATGATTGTAGATTTTCTGTAAAAACCAGAGTATCTTCCGTAAATCTCAAAATCTCCCTTGCCAACATTTCCCTTAGCAGTAATCTCACCTGGATATTTCACTGGCCTATCATAGAAGTATTTCTTAGCTTCTTCGTCAGGCCACTCAGCAAATTTATGCTTATCTTCGCTGCAAGGAGCAGTTTCTCTAGATTCTCCATGGCAGCATGACCAAATGCCCTCTCCAGTTTTTCTGTTTCTAACCTTAAAATATCCTGAATGAATCATACAAGCTTCATCATTACCCTCTTCACCTTTTTTAGTTGGCTCTTTCCAAATAAATGCTCTTCCGCAAAAGCCATCTGGATAATGGTTATCTGGATTCTATTCACCATGATTGATGCAATATTTAATGAAAGCATGCTTTGGGTGACCTCTGTGCTATCCAAGAGTGCAAGGTGGAGCATCCCATTCTTTTCTGCAGCAAGTCCATCCCTCTGGCCACATACCTAGTTCACTACCAAAATCATAGCGACCTGGATGGTGCATGCAATTTTTATCTGCATTTTTATCACTCAAATAATCTTTAGTACAACCTATATTATAGCATTTCATTTCAATTGACTTATTTTTCTTCTCTAACTTTGGTTAAGTATAAAGTTTTTCAGGGGCATCACAAGGGTGACTGTGTGATGTTTTGTGAGCAGGTGGAATCAACACTTAATTCTTTGAAATTCTCTAATCAGTTGCCATTTGGTTTGAATCGCCATATATTAGGGAGAGACATATCAATTAGTCAAGAATTTCATTTTTTTCTGGGAATCTACCTCTTTGGGACTTTCTAAATAAGAAGAATCTATCTAAGGAGTCCCTTTGACTTTTAAATCCAAGACCTCTGACATAAACCTCGAATTCTCCTAAATGATCAGGAAGTTCATAATTTCCAATAACATTAGCATTAGAAAATATAGCAAGGATGGCATCTCCTATTTCATTGAAGTAATTAACATATTCATCCTCAGAATGCCATGAATAACTGTAGTGGAGATAGCAATCGTAGCACCTATTAATGTTGATATCAATTTTACCCTCAGCCCAATTATCTGAAAGTTCTATTTGACCTACTACCATTTTTTCTTCTTCATCATCCTCATTTAGTTCTTCTTCTTATTCTTAGAGAGCATCATTAGGGTTTTCCTCGAGAATAATAGTAGGCTCATCATATCCATTCTCTACACCATCAAATGAGTTTATTTCTATTTCATCGAACTCTGTGCATTTCAATGTAAGTGCCTCCTATCTGATTCTTTCCTCTTCTCTCTTTTAGGCAGCCAAAACCTCTTCATCTATTTCTTCAGAACAATCACTATCCAAGTCATTAAAAACATCTTTATTTTCTTGCTAATATAGGAATCTTGATCTCTCTTAGAATATCTCATTTACTTCTGGAATGCTTTTTCTTAAGCTTCTAAGAAATGTCTAGAAGGAAATAAGCTTGGTTTTTACTTTCTCTTCTCCTCCATCTTTAGCTTCTTCTTCCTCGACAGATCCACAACCACTTGAATTAGCAATAAACCAGAGTTCATCACTTGTTATTTCAGAATTAATGAATCTTAAGGCGACTATAAATCTATTAATTTCAATTATGCCAGTAAAAGTTAGCTCTCCTGCTGACATTAAAGCGCATGCTTTCATTAAATACTCATACTTTCCTGGCTAGATAATTTTTGCTACCTTAGCTCTGAGCATACTATTTTCTGGATCATTCATTATATTAGTCAAGACCTCAGTCGGAATAATAGGTGGGATCTCAGCTTCCTCATCCAAATCATGCTAATCTGCGTTGAAGAATTAGTCGTTAACTCCAAGTTCAATAAATGGATCGATTGGCACTTTTTTGGATTACAAATAGGTCTCGACATTCTCGATATAGACTGATTTCTAGAAGACTTAGTTTTGATTGTATTCCTATTTCATGTTTCTGATTTCTTCGTCTGTTGCTGGGTAAAAGAATAAAACTAGATTATTCACATATCCTGAAAAAGACTCAACTCCTCTAAATTATCCTAGTAAAATTTGGGAATTTTCAAAAGGAGTGAAGTATCTAATGCTTGTCTTTAGATCGTCAAATCCATTGATAAAGAAACCTACTTAATGTATATTAGTAACATCATCCCATTATGATCGCACTACTACGTGATATTCCCTGTTTATCTTTAGGTCCTTTTCTGAATAATAAGTGAACTCATTATTTTTAGAGTCTCTAATTTGATTTATTAATGAATGGAAGATGATTACTTTAGAATGAGATGGAATTTTTTGTTTTGTAATCCTACTCTTAATGAAGAGTAGTTTACATTCTTTTGAAGCGCAATAATACTTTACTAAGTATCAACTATTGAACTAAGTTTCAACCAGAATGATAGAGTGAACCCCTTCTAGAGTAAATCCGAATAAGATTAGAATCTGTTTCTTTTGAAAACCTCACTTTTCTAAAGATAAAATCATCAATATTGAGATTTCTTACTAATCCTCGACTGCTTATCTGAATATTATCGCCTATTAAAGCAATGAAATCTCTATGTTCTTGAGATGCTGCTTAATTGAAATTAGTTTTTCCAGTCATTTGAGAACGAGTGAAAGTACCCCCTCCCAATTATGATTGTGTAACTCTCTCCATTTTATCTTTTATACAACTTTATTTTATTTTAGTTAAATCTATATCCTTATGATTTAATCTGACGGGGTTTTGGGGTTTTGGGGTTTTGGGG